ACCATAGCAGAAGTATAAAAATAAAGTGCTGTTTTGTCCAAGAATGCTCAACAATATTGTATCATTGTATTAGTTGAACATTTTGACACCTTTATTCTTCAAAGAGATGTTTAGAACAAGGGAAAATCCATAGGCCATCTTCCAACTGCTGGGCAGCTACAGGTATGGGGATGGGTGGGTAGGATGTGTGCTGAACTATGAGATGCAGCAGTGGAGGAGCATGCTACTCAGGATGTAGGGCAGGTGGGAATAGTGAGGTTGCTTGCAGGGAGGGTACCCCTATTTTGCCCCTTTTATAGGACTATTATACATTTTGTACAAAGTTGGCCTTGTGAGGTATCATTTTAAAACAGATTATTTGCTGGCCATTATTGTCCTGGTAAAATGTGTGGCAACATTGTATATACAATTATAAGATTCCACTATATGATATTACTAAACCATGTTCTGGAGGGCAGTCACACACCAGTTCCCTAGAGACAAAAGGCTAATCAACGTCTCAGCCAGGTGTCAACAAGCTCACGTGGACCATCATCTGATTCAGTGGCCATTCTTCCACAGGAAAGAGGATGTAGGCAAAAAGTCTACATTTTGACAAAGAAGAACCTTAAGGTTCCTGTCCACACAGACTTTCCCAAGATGATTCTTGTGCAAGACAAAGTGCTCTTAGAGGAGAGGACAGCCACCCCAAATCATCATTCCCTTTCTCTCTACTAATGGCATCACCACTTGAAAGGAAGCAGTACTGGGCTGGGGGGAGATCCTGACTGAAGGATTCAGCCAGTGAAGACTGTTGGAACTTGTGGTGAGAGAGACCTTTGCTTAAAATTCACTTAGCTTGTTAAGTTAGATATTAGTTGCATTTTACCTTTTTATTTCTTAGTTTTTAAGTGATTACAAATAATCTTTCTCTAGTTAATACATTTGTTTTATCTAAACTGGTGTGTTTGGAAAACTTCATTTGGGATAACAGGATTTGTGTATATAATTTTCTATTAATTAAATAATTAACTTTATATGAGCTTGTAGTGTCCAGAAGGTTGCTAGGCAGTACAAGACATCCATTTCTGGGGGAAAGTCTGGGACTGGGAGTTTGCTGGTGTAATTCAAGAGTCGCTGGCTATAGCATTTCTACAATATAGCTGAGTGATTTACATGACCAGGAGTGGTTGCTGTCTGTTAAGCAGTGAGAAAGGCACTCCATGTTGGAGAACTGAGCTGTCCATCAGTCCAGATTGTTCCCTGCATAATGTCACTGGGTTTTTGGTTTTAGAAAATGTTAACTTTCTAAGTAAGCAACCACAATGTTGCTGATGCTATATGATGTTGCTGAGCTCTGCTCAAGGTAGAAGGCTGCTACTTTACCTCTGCAGAGGAAGCCAAGCCGCCTTCAGTCTATTTGCTCTTGCTCACTATGTTTGCATAGCAGCCCCGTGCCCAGGAGGAGCTGTGCGGGGAGCGGGACGGGCGTACAGAAGAGGACGGAGCAGTGAAGCGCGCTTTCCCCACCGCCACTGCAGCAGCGGGGCACAGGGCTGGGCACAGCCAAACGCCGGGAGCTGCTCCAGCCCCGCTCTGCTACCTGACCGGGGCCGGCTGATGGAGATGGCTGGTGCCTCTCTGGCCCCGGTGCTGCCCCGCGGAGCGTCTGAAGGGCTCCGGAACCTGTAACCACCACCTGGTAGGCACAGCCCCTG